GGGGTTTTTGGGGAGGATTTGGGGTTTTTGGGGAAATTTGGGGTTTTTGGGGGGGATTTGGGGTTTTGGGGAGGATTTGGGATTTTGGGGAGGATTTCGGGGCAGATTTTTGGGATTTTTGGGGATGGATTTTGGGATTTGGGGATTTTTGGGATTTGGGGATTTGGGGATTTTTGGGATTTTTGGGGATGGATTTTGGGATTTGGGATTTTTGGGATTTTTGGGATTTTTGGGATTTTTGGGGATGGATTTTGGGATTTGGGATTTTTGGGATTTGGGGTTTTTGGGATTTTTGGGATTTTTGGATTTTTGGGATATTTTCGGCAATCTCTGACCCCGAGCCCCCCCAGGACAGGATTTGTGCCCCCACCCCCTGAACTCCTCCCACTGCCGCTGCCCCCCCGGCTTCGAGGGACCCCCCTGGGACCGGGACCAGCCCTGGGAGAGGCACTGCCAGGGTAACTGGGAGGGACTGGGAGGGACTGGGATGGACTGGGAGAGGCACTGCCAGGGTAACTGGGAGGGACTGGGATGGACTGGGAGGGACTGGGATGGACTGGGAGAGGCACTGCCAGGGTAACTGGGGGGGACTGGGATGGACTGGGAGGGGACTGGGAATGGGATAACGGGAACTGGGAGCACTGGGAGGGACTGGGATTGGAACTGGGAGCACTGGGAGGGACTGGGAATGGGATAATGAGGACTGGGATGAACTGGGAGCACTGGGAGCACTGGGAGCACTGGGATGGACTGGGATGGACTGGGAGCACTGGGATGGACTGGGATGAATTCTGGGGTCCCCCCTCCCCATGGATGAATTGGGGTGGGGGGAGGGGAGGCCCCCATGTTTTTGGGGGGGGGTCTCCAATCTCCCCTCCCCCCCCCAGACATCAACGAGTGCGTGGGGGAGGGGCCCCCGCCCTGCCCCCCCCAGCAGAGCTGCAACAACACCGAGGGGGGGTTCGGCTGCGTCTGCAACGGCGGCTACAGAGCCGGGACCCCCCCCGGGACCCCTCCCCAAAACGGGACCCCCCCAGGGACCCCCCCAGGGACCCCCCTGCACTGCCAAGGTCAGAGACGCCCCCGAAACGGGGGGAAATCCCCCCCCAAAAAAATGGGGAAAATGGGAAAATTGCGAGGTGGAACGGGGGGAAATGGCCCGGGAGGAGGGCGGAAAATGCTGGGAGTTCCTCAAAGTGAAGGGCAAAATTCCCACCCAAAATTCCCAAAGAAATCCCAAAATTCCCACCCAAAATTCCCAAAGAAATCCCAAAATTCCCACCCAAAATTCCCCAAAAATTCCCAAAGAAATCCCAAAATTCCCACCCAAAATTCCCCAAAAATTCCCAAAGAAATCCCAAAATTCCCACCCAAAATTCCCCAAAAATTCCCAAAGAAATCCCAAAATTCCCACCCAAAATTCCCCAAAAATTCCCCCAAATCCTCTCCCTCCCTATCCCGGGGTCTGGGGGGGTCTGGAGGGGTCTGGGGGGGGTCTGGGGGGGTCTCGGGGGGGTCTTGGGGGGCTCTCCCCCAATTTGGGCCCCCCCTGACCCCGCCCCTCCCCCCCAGATGTGGACGAGTGCTCGGAGGGGGGGGAGGGGCTGTGCGGGGGGGGCTCCGTGTGCCTCAACACCCCCGGGAGCTTCGAGTGCCACTGTCCCCCCCCCGGGCGGGGACCCCCGGGCCCCGAGGGGTGTCCAGGTGAGACCCCTCCCCAAATTCCCAAAATCCCCCAAAAATCCCCCAAAATTC